AGATTCGGTCTTAAAACCGAATCAGACTAGCGATTGTTGACTCGGATCGAATTGGAATTGACGAGTGTCCTTTAGCCAGTGAGAGCAAGGCAGCCAGCGATTTAATCGGCTCTCATTGGCTAGAAGACAATCGTCAATCGCAATCGAATCCGCGTCGACAATTGCTAGTCTGATTCGACCTTTAGGCGTCTCAGTGACGATTTCGCGGAGAGAGAAGAAAAGACTGGCTTCCGGGAAACGTTCCCATAGTTATGTATAGAATACGAAAAAGATTGAAAAACCAAGGTAACTTCCGTATGTATGTCCCTCTTTCGCTTGTATTTTGTATTTTCTGATCATCTTCGTAAAATTGTGACATGTTGGTTTGCAGTTATTTTACGTGACAAGGACCTGATACTTGGGTCGAAACGTCGGACCTAACATTTAATTAATTATATTGCCAGTTGGATCAACAAGAAGCTTCGTTTCAATTAAAAATCAATTTGTAAGTTGGGACAATGAGCGTTTAAAGTCTAACACTCTTTCCTAAACCGTTTGTTACGCGCTATAGAAACGTTTTGTAACGTCTGTTTCAACATTCTTTTGTTACGCATACTACGCATTTAAAATGCTACTTTTATACGAGATACATGTTTCGATGGTTCAATATACGTTTCACGTAAAACGCGTCCCTATATTGCATATCTTTATACGTCATGGAAGAGCACCTTATCAAATGTTTCTTAAACATTTGTCAAGCCTGATCTACAATGGTGCTCTTCGCTATGAGAAACATTCTATCTCGTAGCCAATAAATAAGTTTAAGAAACGTACGCGGGTTAACAAAATCGCACGGCGCCGATAGGTCTTCCGAGCGTCTCGATTCGCTCATACGAAATAGAATGCTTCCAATCGCCAAGAGAACATTGCAGATCCAGGCTTTGAGCGTAATCGATCCGCTTGAGTTATCACGTTCGGCTATTAGCGCCGCCGATACGGACAACTCTGGAACACCCTGTATACCAGGATACGGCGAAGCGAAAGGCGAATACGACACGCGGAACGTTTCTATCGCGCTCCGCGCGATGTAGGTGGAGCCGTCAAGGTGGAGCGCTCGATCTCGACCCGTCGTCCGAGACGAGAGGCGACGGCGACGCGACGCGACGCGTCGGGTCGGGTCGGGTCGCCCCGTCGTCGTCGCGACCGCGATCAGCGAATGGGCGATACCGATACCATTGTCGCGATCGCGCCGCCGCGCCGCGCGATACGCCCGTATATACCGCTACGGGCTAACGCCCGTAATACGTTCCCGTTTCATTTTCTCTCCGCTCCGAGGCCGGGCTCCGAGCGGAGCGAGCGAGCGAGCGAGCGAGCGCAAGATTTTTCTCGCCCTCGCTCTCCCATCTCGTCCTCCCTCCTTTCTTCCTTTCTCTCTCTCTCTCTCTCTCTCCTCTTTTCTTCCGTGGCTCCTTGAATCGCCGACGAACTCCGCCGAGGGCTGCGGCGCTCTTACGATTTCTCGGGTCGCGTTCTCGGTCACTTATTCTCCTACCTTGAGAAACGCCCGTTCGACGATTCGGCGGCGAGCTCGTGTCCGAGCGGCGCGCCGCGCGAGAGAAAGGAGAGGAGAGCCCGAGCGTTCCGAACGAGACGCGTCGCGATGAGACGAGATCGGGATCGGGATCCGAGGAGAAAGAGATGGGAAGAAGGAGCGAAGAGAGGAAGAGAGGGAGACCGAGGAGGGCGGGAGGGAAGGGGGAGAGCGGGACTTGCGGTTCGTAAGGAGCAGTGGTGCCCCGTCGAGATAAAGCGTCCTCTCAGCCCATAAATCTTGCAGATTACGAACGCCCGCGTGATCTCTCATTAAGGCTGCGCTCACGCAAACAATCGAAATATAAATAAAGCGTTTCTTTTATCGGCAAGTCCCTTCGCCAATTCGACCGTCTCTTCGCGGCGGGCAGTAAGCGATCGTCTCGAAACACTCTTCGTACTCTTCTCACAATGAAGTTAAGCCAGATCGACATTCGCCCCGGTATTCGGAATTTCGTTTGTCGAACGCAACGATCGCGGTCTCGCGCCGACGGCGAGAAAGATGTGAAGTGAAGAATGAAACATGTCGCGCAAGAGTTTAAACACACACCCTCAGAAGGGATGTCCGCTACCGAGACAAAAAATATCTTGACGCATTTATATTTCTCACAACCTCATTCAGCATAAAAGTAAGGCAATATCAAAATAAAATCAATAATTCTTATTCTCCTCCGTCGAATTAAAAGAGATTAGCTTACTATATTCAGACAAGAGCAACTTACATAAATGTAAGTTTATATACTTTTGCGTTTAGAATAAATTGTCCCTTCATCTTACAACGCACGAAGTTGACCGAGGGGGAAACTGCTACCCAAAATCTTGTACACCAATGCCCAGTGGGCATTACTTTGTCTTATTATCTTATTTTATCTTTATAATGCCCCAGCACGGACCTAATGCCCAAACTAATGCCTAGTAATGCCCAGTAATGCTGCAAATCTGTACACCACAATGCCCTCAGCGGTTTCCCCCTCGAAGTTGGCACTACGATATTCGACAAAAGACTAAATATGATTGGCGCTATATCGATCCTATTTTATGATACATTGAAGCGTAATAGCATTGGATCCGGAAATTTTTTCCGTGGGTGTGAATTCAACTTTTCAGTTTTGAGTGTCTTGTCGCTCGATGAGAACCTCAAGTTAAGGTCGAAACCATTTATTGAACTTGCCAGTTTGGTCGACAGAAACCATTAGCATTTTTTATTGTGAATCTAATTACCGGCGACTCTGAGAAGTAGTTTAGTTTTGTGTAGCATATTCTGTGCAACAAGTAATCGCGTGTCTGGACGGAGATAATTTTTTCGTGAAATTGACACCATGCAGGCATTTTAAATTGGTACTTTGTTAGAGTTTTGTGAAATGTCACCATACATTTTACTAGTAAAATATACAATTGCTAGCAAGATGTATGGTAAAATTTCAAAAAACTTGGAAAAATTCCTGGAAATGCCCATGTCCCACGATTTTGCATGATTTTCCGAATAACTTTTAAGGGGATGCTGGAGTGACTCTGCACTTTTGCACCTTCCTAACCTAAAAACTGTCAGTTCGCGGAAACATTTGTATAATATACAAATTAAATGACTTACGTGTACAGATCGAAAGCAGCTCGCTATTCCGGCCAAATGAAAGAATAATACGGCATCATTGAAACTAAGTTTATAAGTCCAATAAGAAATAATAGTGAGCAACACATACATACAGTACATGTAGTATATGTGTTGCTCACTATTATTTTTTATTAGACTTACAAACATAGTTTCAGTGATATCATATTGTTCTTTAATTTAGCCGGAATAGCAAGCTGCTTTCGATCATCTGTACACGTGCCATTTAATTTGTGTATTACACAAATCTTTCCACGAAACAGACAGTTTTAAGTGCGAAAGGTGCGAAAGTGCAGAATCACTCCAGCATCCCCTTAAGAGAGAAATTTTTTCTCTCTGCGTACCCACAAAATACGCGACATCAGACGGCGCGAACGTGCGAGTGTAAATTACCGAGCGATACGACCGAACCTTCGACCGGGCTAGGACACAAAGGGACAAGCTTGCGTAACTCGTATATTAAAAAGAAGAAACATAGCGAACGTATGGCTGATGGCAGACGACTATCCGTAAGCGCTTAAGACTGACGTAGCCGTAGACTTAAGGTAAGGCGGAGAAAAACGTAAGCCGTAAGGAACACGTGTTCCACGGCTTACGTTTTTCTCCGCCTTACCTTAAGTCTACGGCTACGTCAGTCTTAAGCGCTTACGGATAGTCGTCTGCCATCAGCCTATGAATTGAAGCGAGCAGCTCCGCGAAGCGGTAGCGTCGCGCGTTGAGCGCCACTGGCCCATAGAGTATCGCGCGGTGCGCCTGTAGTAGGGCCACGGCGACGGAGGGCGGGGGAAGGCGGGGATCACGTGGACGTGGAGGGGCGGGGGGAAGGGGGGGCTCAAGGCCGGTCGCGCTGTCATGCCAGAGAGCCTGCGCGCCGAAATATCAACAAGCCTTTTCTCCGCTCGGGGAGCCCTGGGCACACGCTCCGATCGCCGATCCGCTCCGATCGCACGCGCGTGCGCGCCTTTCTCGAAAGGAGCCCCGCGCGTTAGCCTGTGTGAAGAACTACGAAGAAAACTACTTGTAAAATCGTACGGTTTAACGTCCGACGAGTGGGAAGGTGGGGGAGCGTAACGCGGCGAGAAGCGGAGAGGCGGAGAAAGAGAGAGAGAGAGAGAAAGAGCGAGGCAAGAAAAAAAGAAACGGCACACGCGCGCGCGCGCGCGCGTAGAGTTTTGGACAGGTGGCACGAACTACGGTGGTGGCTGACAGCTGATGGCTCGCGAAACCCGCGCCGAGAGGTTACGAAACTGGCCGCCGCGCGAGGGAGGAGGATGGAGGGCGCGCGGCGAAAAACGCGAGAGAGACGCGACTCGGGTTGTACGCTACGTCCCCTCCCCCCCCCCTACCCCGCGCGCACGTGGAAGAGAAAGACGAGAGGTGTCGCGGTGTGTGGGGCTACGCGATTCGCGCGGGGTCTCTCGAAACTTTGGGGAGTCGCGTCCGCGAGTCCGAACGTGAAAAAGGCTGCGAAAAGAGGGCGAGGGAGGAAGGGGGAGGCGGGGGGGGGGGGCAAAGTACGCGAGAGAGAGAGAAAAGGAGAGATAAACGGAGGAGAGGGGAGGGGGGGGGACGAGGCGCGAAAAGGACGCGGCGAGAAAGAGGAAAAGCAGGACGGGAGGGGAGAGGCGGGAGAGGGCGGCCGCGAGGGAGGGGGAAGAGTGGAGCGCGGCGGAGACGCAAGGGGGAGAGTCGAGGGGTCATCGGGAAACATAACCTCCGCACGTCTGTGCGTGTGGAGTCGGAGCACGGCGAACGGGCCCTGGATGTTACGTTACCGTCGCTTTTTTTTTTTTCGGAAACAAACACGGAAAGCGGCTCTTACCTCGTCGCGCGGCGCTCTCTTATTCTCTTTATCCAAGTATCCGTGTGTGTGTGTCTCTCTCTCTCTCTTTATTTCTTTTTCTCCGTCGCTCTGCGCTCGGGATCTCGCCGTGACGGTGACGGTGACGGCGAACGTGTCCGCGTTGCGCGGCGCGACAGCCGCGGCCCGAGGGGAGGGGGGGAAGAAGTTAGTAAGGCACTCCTGACAGTCTTTTTCACGATGACGTTACGCGCGGCACCTATGCTGTCGCGCGAGCCACGGGCGAAGGGCGATCCGCGAGCGAGAGCGTATCACGTCGCACTGGTCGCACTGTGTACCGATCACACTCGCGTGTACGAGACGGAGAGAGAGAAGGAACAAGGTGGCGGAGGAGACGGAGGAGGAGGAGGAGGAGAAGGAGGCGGAGGAGGTAGAGGAGGAGCGAGTAAACGCGGAGAACGAGAGGACGTGACGGAGAAAAGAAGAGCGAGGGAGGAGAGAGACGGCGGAGAGCGGGAGCACCTCGCGCCGCTGCTCCCGGTGGACGCGGCGCTGCTCCGAGCGACGGAGGTGAAACGGACGGACGGACGGACGGACGCGTCGCGCACGCACCTCTGCTCGCGCGTCACAACGGGTTACGGCGGATCGCAACGGGCGACGTAGTCACCAGCTCGCGCGAGGAGCCCACGAGTTTAAGCCACACACAGGCGCGCACACGGTGCCCACCTCCGGACTCTCCGCTCTTACTCTCCGGCTGGTGGCACCTCCGCGCGCCACGAGTTCGCGCTTCGACTGTCTCTCTCTCCTTCCCTCTTCCCTCCCGCCCGCCCCACTCCGCCGCGGTGCCGCTGCCTCGCCGCGCGGACCTTCCGTGTGCGCGCGGGCCCTCTCTCGTACCTGCGTCTCTCTCTTTCTCTCTCTTTCACCTTCTCCCCGTCTCTCACTCTGTCTCACTTCAACTCCCGTCCTTCCCTTCTCTCCCGCGAGGGAGCGAGTGCGTTCTCCCCCGCTGTTCTCTTCTGCTCTCCCGCCCGCTCCCCCCCCCGCTCCCTCTCGCGCTCTCTCTCTTTCTCTCACGGGTGACCGTGCGACGCGAGAAGCCAATGCCGGATAGTACAGTACATCGTCGCGCGATGCCGACACCGCCGACGGCGCGACGGGACGCGTCGACGTCGCCTTTGGCCCGCTCGCCGGCCGACATGGCGGTCGGCCGGTTGCGGCGGTTACGAGCCCGGGGCTCCGTGCGCCTCTGGAATGTCCGGTTACGTATGAATCGGCGCGTTCCGCGTAACCGTGGCCGCGCGTAAAAATGGTAAGTTTTTTTCGCGATAACGCGCCGCGTCGCGCACGCTCCCGCGATAAATTCCGCCGTCGTATCGTAATCGCGGCTCGCGCGCGCGCGCGCACGCGATAAACGATAACGCCGGGATTCCGATGGGAATCGTCACGGCGAGCGAACGCGGCCGCGGAAAGAGAGCGAGAGCCGTACCGGCACTCCGCGCGACGCTCGACATTCGGCGGTTCTCCATTTAAAAAGGCGGCGCGCCTCGCGCTTATGTTCTCCAAGGGACGAATGTCTCCCTCCCGTCCCGTCGAGAACACCAACGTGCGCGCTGCAAAATTAACGATTGCAGATTCCGACCGAGCTCGCGTGGTACCCGGTGATGGAGACGCGCGAATTGCTTCGAAATCGAATCTGAGATTTAAATTCAAATATCTTGAATTATCGACGATTTCGCATCGGCCACGTTGTTTTTTTTTAAATAAACGCAAACGCAATACAGTTTGTTATGTAATAATAGATGATAGAATAGCCATTTTTTAACTAAACAATGCAGTTGAGAAAGTTTACATTTAATTTTTTATATTTAAATCAACACGCGAACCCAGAACAGATCGATTCGAATTTGAGCATGAAAAAGATTCGGTTCGAACCGAGAGGTAAACCGCTGAGAGTATTGTGGTGTACAGATTTGCGGCATTACTAGGCATTTTTTTGGCATTAGGCCTTGCTGGGGCATTATAAAGATAAAATAAGATGTAATAAGATAATAAGATAAAGTAATGCCCATTGGGCATTAATGGGCATTGGTGTACAAGATTTTGGCCCGCGGTTTCCCCCTCGGTAAATTTCAAGAGAAAATTCCGAGGTGTTAACCGTTGAGGGCATTGTGGTGTACAGATTTGCTGCACTACTGCATTACTAGGCATTTTTTGGGCATTAGGCCTTGCTGGGGCATTATAAAGATAAAATAAGATAATAAGATAAAGTAATGCCCATTGGGCATTCGTGTATGTACAAGATTTTGGTTCGCGGTTTCCCCCTCGGTAAATTTCAAGAGAAAATTCCGAGGTGTTAACCGCTGAGGGCATTGTGGTGTACAGATTTGCTGCACTACTGGGCATTACTAGGCATTTTTTGGGCATTAGGTCTTGCTGGGGCATTATAAAGATAAAATAAGATAATAAGACAAAGTAATGCCCATTGGGCATTGGTGTATGTTCAAGATTTTGGTCCGCGGTTTCCCCCTCGGTAAATTTCAAGAGAAAATTCCGAGGTGTTAACCGCTGAGGGCATTGTGGTGTACAGATTTGCTGCACTACTGGGCATTACTACACTGAAAAAAATTTCTGGTTGAATATGGACGAATCAGATAATTCCTTTAGGATTTACCAGAATTCCTTTAGGATTTACCAGAATTTCTGTAGGATTACAGGAATTCTGGTAAATCCTAAAGGAATTATCTGATTCGTCCATATTCAACCAGAAATTTTTTTCAGTGTAGAAATGTTATGGGCATTAGGTATTATAAAGATAAAATAAGACAAAACAAGATAACAAGATATAATAATGCCCACTGGGCATTAATGGGCATTGGTGTACAAGATTTTGGCCAGTGGTTCGAACATGAACGGATTCGATTCGAGCACACAAAAGCCGTCGTTCGCACACCTCTGCCCGCTGGCCAGCAGCGGAAAACGCGTGTCGGACGGACGAAAATCGCGTCGCGGTTCAACGCTCGAATCTGACCGAGGTCGCCGCGCAGCACCGCGCGCTTCCCCGAGCCGCGATCGACTTTTCGATTCGCGCTCGGAATCCGCTCTCGAGTTCCCTTTCGGATCGAACTCGCCGAAATCCTTCGGCGAGGAAAAGGGATTTGACACGCGGTGAGCCGCGCGACGCCGACGCTTCCCGATTTCTCGGCTCTCTCTTTATTTATTTTATTATTTTTTTCGAAAGCACGAAAGAATTCGGTCCGACACGTCGTAGAATATTTCGCGACCATCCGAGGATAAGAGCGACGTATTCGCGTTACTCTCGCGAACGTACTTCTCGGTAAAATCTACGCTATCGTGGACCTTGGCGGCAACGAGATGCGATATACCGTTTACTTCCGCGTAAGCCACTTGTATTATCGTTATCGAACTTCTAGATATAACGACAAATGCGCGATTCTGTGAAATTATTTTAAGAAAGAACGATTCACCCAGCCGACGCATTAGATTGTGCACTTAAAATATATACGTAATACAGTCGAACGAATTTGTTGCAGATCGCGCAGACATCACCCTGCGATTATCTACTGGAGCAACGATCCGAGTCTCGGAGAGAGAAGGCGCGAGGAGCGTGTGTGAAAAAATACCGCCCTGTCGTCTTCGGTGGAAATGCAACGGTAACATATACTTTATTCGTTACTTTGTATTATATACACACGACGCGTAAACATCAACACTCATGTCAGAGAATAATGTTGTATCTCTTATTAAATAAAAATAAACGTCCGGATGCGGCGCTGCCCGACGGTCTTAATCATCGGGGGGGACCGATCGGCCATGCGCGATCGTCCCCGACGCATTCTCCGCGTGTCCGCGTTCCCACATTCCAGGAGACACGTGGTGATTCATCGAGCTGACGCGCATCCGAAAAATGCCCTTTTTTTTCCGTGCGTACTAACTGCGCGCTTAAGTCTGAGATCCACGATCAGGTCGAATCGCATTCTCGGCCGTCGACCGTTAAAGTCGCGCTGGCCTGAAATCCTATTGTTTAAGATCGGTTTCGGAACAATGAGAGAAGCTACGGTACACAACGTCACTTAGAAAAGACCCGAAAGCAAATAGTGCCTAACAATAAAATATCGTCACGTTAACGCGCCACGATGCCTTAATTACGGACGCGAAGTAAAATCGGTTGAGCTTAACAGGAAAGGAGAATCGGTGCCCCGCGAGAGGTATTTTTCTTTTTTTTACTTAATTTTGCTTTGCACCGTAAACTATATCGAAAAAGAGAAACGTTGGAAGAGAAATACGGGAGGATCGCCATGGGGCGCAGTTTATCATCGAAATAGCCGCGACTGTCTCTCTTAAAAAAAAAACTCGGATTCTAACGCAACGTTTTTCTCACGTGTATTATATGAAAGTTAGAACAGACACAGAGAGTGCCACGTGTGCCGCAACAGGGCGTTTGTTTTTTCAAATCGTTGTTGCAGAAAAATTAAGGAGCGCGGAGGGAAATGGTAATTAGGTCACGGGCACCTCCGTAATTAAGACAACAAACGCGTCCTCGTCGAAACCTATCCAAACGATAAACTTGTACCCGCGGTCGCACTTACATTCGAGGTACACATGCAGCGCGACGCACGCTAATAGCATAACAATGACAAAGATTTCCAGGTGTCCTCTCGCACGAGGACGAGAGATCAGGTACGTGCAGTCGGTTTCTCTTTTTTTTTTTTGGTTTTTTTGTTTTTACGTGATCGATCCTGCTGAGACCACAATTAAATGCAATCGATTGGGCGAGCGCCAACAACTACGGCATTCTATTTTTTACATGGCGACGGCAAATTCGTGGTTGGTGTGGGTGTAGGACTGCTGCTGCAGGACCTGCTCAGCGCACGTTGAGGTTCAACGCTCAGGAAGGTCCTGTCGGAGGTCGGTGGCGCGGAGACGATTTCCGGCTCCGCCGGACTCGGGCACCTCCTCTGGCTGCAGTTGGACGCCGTGCTCCTCGACAGCGTCTGCAGCGGAATCCGGTAGATCCTTATCGGCTTCCAGTCTCCTTGGCTGTCTGCGAAAGGAAAATTGCCCCCCCGAGATCCGGGGAGGGTCGTCCTCAATACGTTTGTCCGGCATTCGGAGATAGCGATCGGACAATCGCTATCTCCGACGTGCCGGGGCTTTGTTGACGGAGGCAAACGAATCGGGGACCACGTACTTTGAACGCTCGATCGAGAGGAGGACGAAGATTGCGCGGTCGGCGGTGGACTGCAGGGCATTTCCTCCTTGTCGAGGGGCTTCGAGTCCAGTCGGATGCGCTCGCATTTACCTGGGAAGAATTCCGGCGCCGTGGTGGCGAAGAAGACGTCCCGCTTCGAGGTGATCAAGTTGAGACTGGGCATGGCGATCGTGTGGACCAGGTTGCCGTTTATTATCAATCGAATCTCCATCGTGTCGTTAGTGAAGGCGATCACGTATGGGAAGGCACAGGCTGTCACAGACAAATGCAATTTGTTAAGAGAAACGTCGACGCGCCGTTTAAATGTAATTTTTTTTTACAAGAGATTTTCATAACGTTGTCTCTCACCTACGGCGGTCGGCATCGAATTCCAATTAAAGTCGAATTCGGTTGGCGCAGCGTTCTCTTCTAACATCTTTTGAAAGTGGCACGTATCTGAAGGAAGTATAATTCAATATCGATGGGCGTTTATACATTATAGATTGCCGTGTTACTCTTAAACTGAAACATCAGAGAAGATAACTCGTACTGCGATCGCCAAAACGGTCCAAATGAATTACACTTTTTCGTAAAATTTACAACGACGCACATTTTCTGCGACTTTTATTGCAATGTATTGAATCAAAAAGTTAATTTTCCCTCTTCATCCCTTTTTTCCAAGGTATACATATAGTATGAACAATTAAGGGGAAAAAAAGACAGAATGATAAGAGATTGAAAGTCTGCATGATTATCCGTGCGTTTAATTATCTTGTTCAATCTTAATTTTCCACATAATTAGTGCGCGTTAATTGCACGGAAAATTAAAATTAAACAAGATAACACATAAGCAACCGCGTAGACTTTCAATCCCCTATCACTGTGTCTTAATTGTTTAAGTATCGAGATTACATTTTAATTTACACACACAGAGTCTACTTAAATACTAGAAACACTAGAAATAGATATACGTTGATCGATAATTCTATTTTCTAACATTCTAAAGATAGCCGTGTTCTCTGAAACCTCCTGTGTGCTATAGTTGTTGCATAAACGAGTTATCGCCTCCGAGCTATTGGTGTCTCCGGATTAAGAGTTAAAATGGAACGCGACCTACTATTGTAACAAAGTAACAGTTCCGGCTCCTCGTCCTCGCGGAGATCCAACGCCGCCACCACGTGCGGCTTAGGCGTCGCCTCCATGTGGATTATCCGCGAGCTACCTGAAGCGGAGATCAACTCGAAGTGATGACGGGCGCCGCAGCACAGTGTCCACTCATTCGCCGGATCGACGCTCTCGATCATCGTTACCAACGAGGGCGTCTCGCTCGCGGTAAACTCCTTCAGCAGCAAAAAGCCGTCGATGGTGTCGGTGTCGGCTGACGAGCACCAGATGGTCCAGGCTGCGTTGTGCTTCCACTGGAGGACCGTGAGCCGGCGGCCCACGACCACGCACTGTTTCGCACCACAACCACGCGTTAATCTTGTCTCGGAATACAAACTTAAGATAATAACAGGACTCGAAAGAGAAAGAGGAAACGTTTAAGGGTGATATTCATAGTCGAAGATCATCTTTAGATACCACGTAGCCAATTAAATGTTCTATACAGCATCTTAAGAGAAACTTAAGGGGATCCTTCAGTCGTCTGTTTTACCAACACAGCCAAACATAGTTTTTGCGCTTCTAATTCATTACATTAGCTTTTATTGAGAAAATAGCACAAAATAATACCAGGATAAGTGTAAATAAAAATGATATTGGTATTTGAAATATTATAAAGTGATAGTTTTGATTTTCCTTCGTTTTTTTTATATGAAGATGACTGATCCTGGTTTTGTCTTTATGCGTACTTTAATCGTGTGGGAGAATTTTGCAATTTTATAAAGCCAATTTCAAATTTAGAACTACGAGTATGAAAATGTTCTGCTATGCGGTCCGCAACGTATCCTGGTATTATTTTGTGCATAAAAGCTAATCAAAAGAATTACAAGCGCAAAAACTATATTTGACTGTGTCGGTAAAAAAGATGGCTTAAGGATCCCCTTAAAATTAAAATATTCCTTTCTCCATAATAAATATGAGTGGCACTATAGCTATCCTATTTTATGATACATTGAAGCTAGGATCCGGAAATTTGTTCTGTAGGTGTGAAGTAAAATTTTCGCGATAAATTTACAAATTTATCCTCTGGCTGAAGGATCCTCTTAAGACAGTATTAAATATAAGATCTGACTATGAATACCGGCCCAAGTATCTTAAATGACATTGTCGAATTGTTCAATCAACTTATACTTTGTTATACCATGCGCAAGTGCGAGCCTCCGGGTCTCGTGATGCTGTACAAGTTACATCCCCGTGTACGCCGCAGCTTCCTCTCCTTGATATGCGCCCGGCTCCGAACGGCTGGGGCGCGAACGCGCATTCGCGCTCGCGAGCGCGTCACCGGCTGAAACTTGGCGGTGGCACGCGTGAAATTGTCGCACTCGTCGGCGTCGTCCTCGTCGCAATCGTCGTCCTCGTCCTCGGCGTCTTCGTCGTCGTCGTCCTCCTCCCTCCCCCGGTCGTCGTTCTCGCGATCGTTGAACAGCTCGGCGCACCTCGCGGACGCATCGCTCTCGAACTCTCGCAGCCGGAAAACGTAGACGCTACTCTCCTTGCCCTTGTCGCCGGCGCGGAACAGGAGTATACCGTGTTGCTCGACCACGTCCAGCTGCTTGATCTGCACCGACTCGTCGAAGAGCATTCTGTGCGAAACCCCGTCTGGAAAGAGAATCGCCGCGACGAGCATATTGATGAAGGAACGAAATTTATTTTTCATTCGAAATTTAACATTTATTGAGGCCTGTGATGAGAACTTGGTCCAAGTGCTAGCATCGTGGACACATGCCTTTAGAATCTATTTGCAAATGTTTAATATTTAACAGCTCCTGTTTGTCGATTCGACAATTTGCCATTTGATCCTTCGATAAATCGCTAGCTGTCGCTTTCAGTACAACCTGCATTCTATTTCGTCGTTATTTGATACGCGACTGAAATCTTCGGTTGAAACCTCGATCGCGAAAAAGTTGTGCCTCGTCGGATCTTCCGGGCGATCAGGTTCCGAGATAATGTACGTTTCGTGGGTTACCTTCGATGAGAAACATCCCGTACTCCGAGGCGAGGATCAGTCTGTTCTCCAGCCAGACGTCACCGCAGACGACCTCGTAGGGAAAGTCAGGGTAGATGCACCTCGGTTCCCATGGCCTGGGCTTCAGAGGGCCGACGGTGGCGAGAGAGGTGGGCGCGAGGCCACGCATGATAGCTTCCAGTTTCAAGGCTTGTCCGACTTGCACCATCTCGACGGCGCGCGTCTCCTCTCGCCGTCGACCCGGTGCCTCCACGACATCCGAGAGTGCTCGGCGATTTAGCATGCTCTGTTACGAAATCACATTGAGTTGACTTTCTTTAAGGGGTTACAACACTCTAGAGCACCCCGAAATAGCCAATTTTCGGAGATTTCTTTTCAGGAATATAATAAACGTAAATAAAAAATTTGTTTTATACTTCAATGTATAGATAATAAGTAGGAATAAGCAGGTTTTCATTTACGTTTATTATATTCCTGAAAACAATCACCGAAAACTGGCTTTTTTGTGGACTCTAGGGTGTTGTAACCCCCTTAAAGCACATTCTTTTCGCTGACTATTTAGCTAGATTATTTAAATATTGCATTGATATATTAATAGTTGCATGATTTCCAAAATATTGATATTATAACTAAAATTATTGCATCATTATATTTTATTACAATTACTGTGAGCAAAAATTAAGTGGTAAGCGGGAGTAAGTGGCAGCCTTCATAAATTTAAGTAGCGTACGTTGCTCTTGCTGTCTTGCGAATGCTCCTGGTACATGTCTCGCAATAGGGCATCGAGGGTTCTTTCCCTCTTCCTGGAGAATGTCGGGGTGTCAAATGTAGCTTTCTCGCCGTTGATCAACTTAACAAGGAGAAATTCTCTGAGATTATACGGGTCCTCGAAAACCGGCGGGCAGGGTAGACTCGGTCCGAAGAGAGGTACGTTCTCGTCGCAATAAATAGCGACCCGCCAACCCTTGCCGTCCGCCTCGGTAGTCACCACGGCGAACACGTCTAAGTAATAAAAGATGGATTGATACTCGGCTAATGATCTTCTCTTTTATCTTCTGTAACTTCATAATGCGGTTAGATAATTTTTGGTAAATGTGCCACCGCAACGAAAACTCTAGATTTCTTCGTAGCAATCAACAAAATTGTTATAAAAATGCAATTTTATGAAATAAGGGCGCAAAAAGTTTTGAAAGACGTAGAAGTTATAGTAATCTTAACTTGTTGGGTGCACAAAAAATTTTAATTAAAACTTAAAAATAGAACCCGTAAAATTACAATCTGTGTGGGAAGTCAGAAACCCATGTGGAATCACACTCGTCAATGTTTTATGAAAAGCTATGGTAATTTTTTTACAAAAGTTATAATTTATTGCATCCGGTTCCACGTAGGTTTATAACTTTGTACGAGTTATAATTCTACTGCATTTTAAGCGTTAATTAGAAATAGATTTGGGTTATATCTCTCGGGGTGCAGGGAGACGGGTGGAGCCCCTCCTCCGCCCACGCGTAAAAGTAGTCGTAAATCTTTCAAAAATCTTCTGCCCCTTTCTCTTCGAACTTCCATAAAATTGCATTTTTATATTCACTTTTGTTATCAAAAACTACCTTTTATACAACTACATTAGCGGTTTATTTATTCTATAAGAAACGCACTTTTGCTTGTTTTTCCAATGAATTCGCGAGTAAAAATTAGCGAGAGATGGTGAACGTCACGGAAAGAATAATTTTAATAGCAATTTCTCAAACTGCATTTGCATCATAATTGAAGATATACATAACGGAAGTAGGGCAAATGCGTATTATAACGTGTTAAAGTTTAAAAGAACGCGAACAAAATCTGTAGGCGTGAAAAAGGAAAACAGGAAGACGTAAGAAGATTGAGAATCACTGTGTTGCACGGTATTTTAGCTCGTATGCTCTTTATGTAAACAACAATAGGCGAGGTTCAGTTTAATATATTGTTCATGACCTTATCGTGATATTTCTCTTAACTCACGGGTAAATTGGCTTCTTATGCAGTTAGGATTGAAAGTATCCACGGCCGTCGGATCGTCCGTATAGATGATGTTAACAATATCATTGCCGATGTGTCTCTTTCTCTCGAGCTGCTGCGGGTTGTCCTTCGAGTACGGTAGCATGGTACTAACGTGATACATAACTTCGTGACCTGCATAAACTGTGTAATAACTTTCCTTGCCCGTCATATCCCCTGAAAAACGATAGGACGTGCTAGTAGAATTGTGGAAGTAAGGAAAAGATTTCCTCTGGGTTATCGCCAGTTTATTCGCATCGTGAATGCAGAGCTGAAAATCAATACTGCAAAACTATAAAAATCCGAGGCACAGTCTTATTTAATCGGCACTGCGTTTATCGCCCTTTAAATACATGTGTACCATGACAATTGCATCTACGAAAAATATGGCAATGACAAGTAATGAAACGGTTCGTTAGTTGGGAGAGGTGGAGAAAGGGAGGCAGGGAATTTTCGAATTCTGCCAGTGCAACAGTCTGTTGAGACCAGCGACGATTGCAGGCCTCTTCTGGGTAGGCGATCGTGTAATTTTCCGCGTGAAAAATTTCACGCGAACTCAATCATTTCAACCAATGAAATTATTATATTCGCGTGGAACTTTTCATTTTTCATGTTTCCACTCTAGGGGAAAACATGATCGCTACCCTGATTGCAGATCCTCGAGTTTGCACTGCCAATATCCATGTCATCAAGCGTACCTTTCACATCCAAGCCGCCTCTATATTTGTCCCAACCTTTGAGCCGTATCCTCTCACCCAGGATCTCCAGGAAGCTCTCGAAGCCCGGGCTACCTCTTTCTACGAGCAATGAGAAACGTTCCTCAGGGATCGATCGCGCTATCTATTATCACGTAATTTCCCACCCCACCAGATTTGTCTTTTGTTCCCGCCGACACTTCTGGCGGGCTTACCGTTAGACAACATCTCGTCGTCGGTGATCTGACCCTGCCTCGCGTAGATCACTCCAAACTTGAAGTTCACCGAGCCTTCTTGTTCCTCCAGCAGTAACAGATCCTGCGAAGCATCATTGAATTAATCCGTACCCTCCTTTATGACGCTCATCCTCGAGCGTGAAATAGTACGAGACCCTTGTGAACCTACCTTTTGCAGCTCGGGTGTGAAAACCTCTCGCGGCACTTTGTCGAGTTTTTCGAGACTGAAGAAGTTGCTGAAACGTCAATAATAAATCACCACGTGTTCCTCTCGACTTGCGGGTACTGAGATAGTTACCTGAGAATTTGTCTGATAGTCATTGTTTTGTTCGCCGAATACGGCAGCGATATTTTCTGCGCGCCCTGCGTAAAAATATTTTACAATTTACCACAATTCGATTCGCATTTACGGCTAATAATAATTTTATTGTTCGAGATAAAAGCGAGTTGAGTTACGCAAAATCTAATATCTTCCTATGTCGCGCACAAAGTAAACTGGATATTACAAAAATATATACGGATATTGATTTAACATAAGCAAATTGTAGCAGTAAATATTTCATCTATAAAAGAAATGGAAGCTTAACGAAAGGGGGGGGGGGGAGGTTCTCCCAAGTCCTGATATTGGGGCGAGAGGAAAGATAAGAAAATGAAGAAGAAACGAGGAATAATGGAAAAGTTGGGAGTATAAATAATTTCATAATTTTTTTTCTTCTGGGATCTACCCTACTAAATAATACATTGTCTACTCACGGTACGCCTCCATAGAATAACTCGGTAGTGCGGCACGCATTGATCACCGACTTCGCTCGTGACTACCGAGAGAAAGAGAGGATTTCTCTCCTGATCAGAAGCGATATAATTTTGATGCACTGCGCATAAATAAAAGTAATCAATCCTTTTTATTTCTTGAATGTATTATAAATCGTCTATCATAAGTAAGTCTTTTTTTTCGGTTCTCGCGTCTATGAGCTATCGCAAAAAATGCAAGGTATAGTATTCTATGCATAAATTTTCATTAAACGCAACAATGATTAACTCGGTCGAGTGAATAAAGAACGTGAATCGATTTACATAAATGAGACGCTCATGAAATTTTCCATCATATTTCCGTAATATTACACGTGAAAAGAGGAGGATTTAAAAAATTAGGGTGCCCACAAGTAACGGGCAGAGATATCCTAAGCGAAATAACGTTATCAATACGGTTATAATTATTGTAATCGCAATATTATGTTGCAGGTTCAAACCCTGGCCGAGGTGATATTTTTTCGCAATAAATTTAGAATAAAGTATTTAGACACTAACACCCTGTCGCGGCTCTTAGTCCTTTATTCCTTTGAATTTGTGTATAACACATTTGAGTCATACTAATTTTCTTAATTTGTTATGTTACAGATCTGCTCAACTTACGTTTGCCCAAGAAGTACTTGAAATACCAACGCGTTTGGTATTCCGGATTTTCTAATATCGGTGTACTCGGCGAGCCGAACATCTGTTGGTGCAAAAATCGTTCATCGTTACAAACATAATCCGTGGCAGAAAGTGGGATACGATGGAAGATGAAACGAGGTAAGAACGAGCGTAATTACGCGAAACGGGACGAATCTCGAGTGTTAGAAGAAAAAAAAGTTGATCGTTTGATCATTAAGCAACGCTCCCTCACCTCTTCTTTCTCCCCGGGGGAGTCTCCGTTCTCCACTCGAAATCTCCTGCCATTGTCGGCGCCGTCCTGCTCGATCTGCGGCAGCTAGAAAGACATTTTCGAGCATCGCGATTAGCAAATACATGGCGCGTCAACGTGCTCCAGTTTCGGATTTGCGATTCGTAATTCCGAGGCCTCGAAACGCGCGCGACCGCGAGTGGAAATGCTAAACCCAAAGACCGGATCCGGGTCTTAAAATCTGTTCGCGTAGCTTTCACAAATAATCTATGATTTCAAATCGAGAACTCGATTTCATTTCCACGGGACTGAACATAATTAAGTTCTATAGAAAAATATTTACTCTTTCTCTCTCTCTTTTTCGTTTGCGAGTCATTCCGTAAAAAAATTTAGGAGCTTTCCGTCTCTGATTGAAAGTATCGACGCCGTTAAGGAATTGAAGGACCAAAAGAACGAAATGTACATTTCTAAAGGAACAGGAAAGTTGGAAAATTACGTATTAAATTCAAGGCCTTAAGAGGGAGAAGAAAATTCTACGAAATAATTTATTATTAATATAAAATAACGTACTTTTCCCTCGTGGGTCTGTTAAAAATTTACATTATACTTTTGATTGAAATTCTATTTGATAGGTTTCTTAATGATTTAAGGAATTTTTCTACTTTCTGGTAAAAACTACGTCGCGTCTGAGCACACTGTAACATCGTACATTAACGCGCACCGAGCGCAGGCCGAGTGTAACTTCGGCGAACTATGCGATAAGCAAATCAATAGATAAACAGAAAGATAGAGGGAAACAATATAATCAGCTTACCGGACGTGTCGCGGATTATCACGGAGCGCTTGTTCGTTTTATCGCAGTGATTAGCGTTTACCTTGCACAAGTGCTGCGCACACGGCTAAGACCCTTGTAACAAGTAGAGCGAGGCTCTTACCTACGTGTATACGTGTCTACTTTTCATTATTTCGAGGCGTTTTGCAAACACGTTTGATTCACTACGCGGGGGTCTTCTTTTTACGAAATAATTCGAACTCACTCAGAAACGAATGACCTCGCGTGAACGTTTTTACAGCTCCTTATGCGTATTTACTTTTCATTATTTCCTTACCATTTCGACGCTGCCGTAGCATCGTCTTGACAGGACGCCTCGCCTCGTTGTCGTATCTGTGGTGGATCTGAAACACAGTTTTCCACGTATAGATGTTATCCGAGCCTGCCGTCGAGGATATAATTTTATCTCGGACATTTTTTTTTCCACAAGGCGCTTAATAAAGTTCACCCGTCCGCACTTGCCGGAGGCGTTCTGCAAACACGTTTGATTCTCTACGCGGGGTCTTTTTGTTTGCGAAATGATTCGCACTTATTCAGAAACAAATGACCGCGCGTAAACGCGTTTTTACAGCTCCTTTTTACTACGTGTGCACGCATTCTTATGGAATCGTTCACACCAGGAAAGGCACGCCTCGTCCGCCGCGGTGAACGGCATTCTCGGCCGACACATACGTTTTTTTTTTCTATCAGTCTCACCGCGCCCTTCCGCGGTGCTTTCAACGCGAAGTTTGACATTTGAAAGCAAAATTACGTGCCGAATTTAAAGAAAAACTACGGAAATGTCGCTCGAATTATCTACTTCACTCCGAAATCGATTTCTGGACTCGGAGAATGACCCAGAATTACCTCACCTTCAATTTTAATTACAGTCACGAAGTCTTTCACCAATCTGGACTCCATTTTTCTTTGATTAAAATTATTGTTTGTGACATAGACGCATCTTTACACTAGACAGCTGTTCCATTCTTCAAATTTTTAGAGTGTAAACACCGCCATGAGGTAAAATATTCATTCTATCGGTACAAATATTAATAACAGGGTGAATATTTCACTCCAAAGACTTTGGAGAGCAAATACATCGTTTTTTGCAAGTTGAGTTTCTTAAGAAAATCTTTCGAGACAGAAAGCTTCCTTGTTCACTCGAAGTCGAGTGGTTTTTTTCAGAACTTTAATTCGCAATTTAGTCAATAGCTGAAGTTCAACACCGATGGACCACTCAAGAATGACTTCACCTTCAATTTTAAAGACAGTCATGAATTCTTTCACCAATCTGGACTCCATTTTTCTTCGATTAAAATTATTGTTTGTGACATAGACGCATCCTTATACTAGACAGCTGTTCCATTCTAAAATTTTTAGAGTGTAAACACCGCCATGAGGTAAAATATTCATTCTATCGGTACAAATATTAATAACAGGTTGAATATTTCACTCCAAAGCCTTTGGAGAGCAAATAAATCGTTTTTTTTTTTGCAAGTTGAGTTTCTTAAGAAAATCTTTCGAGACAGAAAGCCGCCTTGTTCACTCGAAGTCGAGTGATTTTTTTCAGAACTTTAATTCGCAATTTAGTTAATAAACTGAATAACGAGATTAATAACTGAAGTTCAACATCGATGGGTCTCTCGGGAGGCTGCAACGAGAGAATGGCGTCTTTCTAAAAGTTTTACTAAGAAGAATTTATTACAATGGGCAAATAATCTATCATTAAAACTGAGGGCGAGGGTCGTGCAGGACCGCGTTCCTCCTTCGAGGCGGAAGATTAAACGGCAAGATGCTATCGGCACGATAATTATCATTGATTCACTAAATGTGTCGCGATCAAATACAATCATCCCCCGGCGAGCGAATCGCGTCTACCTCGCAGTGTGAACGTAATATACGACGGCACCCTTCGTTCGCCGACTCAATCCCTCTCGCGCTTCTCATTTTTCACGACATGAATATCTAGGTTAACGAGAAGCTACGTCGAGGTCGAATTGGCCGGGTAATCGGGAGAGGCCGTTACATGAAAGACACAAAGAGGAACAGTTACTGCTCGAAATTCGGGATTCGCACAGCGTTGCCCGTTAGATCGTTACTTCAGCGACAAGGTTTTATTGGTTTCTGAATGAAGCAAATGGAGAAAGGTCGAGCAACAAGTAGCGCGAATTGCTCCTGTTTCCTTTTTTAATAAAAGGCAATAAAAAAAAAGTCAGCGAGTAAATTGATACGAGTTCGCGCGGCAAACAAGAAGATAAGTCGAACAGCGAGTGAGTAACGAGTCGCTCGCTCGTTCCCTTCAAAGAAGGGGCTAATGGGTAGGTAATTGAGAGAAAAGTACGGCAGTTAACTCGTTACTCGCCTCGCAGTTTTGGCTTCGCGTGAACATTCGTTAGAGCGAAGAACACGCGTTACATGGCAACGTACACGTGACTGGCGCGTCGATGCACCTGCCTGATTCGCGCGGACGGCAGGATCGCCGCCACGCACACCGATCTCGATCTGTTCCTGCGTATCATCTCCTGGACGCTCGAACTGGGTCGCGGCGATTCCTCCTCGCTGTCGCTGATCGCGGCCGAGCTGGCGACCTCGCCGCTCTCGCGTTTCACTTTGCGAGACTTGCTCTTCTCCGCGGAGCCCGCGCTCGTCGAGGATGACGAGGCTGCCGAGGCCGCGGCCGGGTGCGTTGATGACGCGGTTGACGAGATACCCCGCAGTCGCGAAACGAGTTTAATATCCAGGCACAGCATTTTCGCCGGCTTTCCTTTTTTTTTTCAAAAGCTGTAGCGACGTCTCCACGTATTATGTACAATTTAACAGTATGACTATGCACAACTACGCGCTTTTCTTATCACGTACAAGCCTGCGCCACTAGGAGACCGGCCTGGCACGTTCCCCTTTTGGTAGCGTCGTCATCATCATCATAATGTCGTTGAACAGCCGGCGATGACGACGACCCGCATCGCCGTACGCTACTTGTGCAAGCCAAATTGCGACGGAATTGCCACACGTCGCAACGCGGTGAGGCTCGGTCGCAGCTACCAGGTGTCGTGAGATTATTTGACGAATCTCGGCAGCGTGAGGCTCGTCGCTTATGCGCCTGATGCTTTATATCTCGCAGCGTACACGAGGAATATCAATTACAGAGAATGCCTCCTGCGCTGCGTGGTAATTTGAATTCTCTCTCTCTCTCTCTCTTTCTCGACGACCCGGTCGATCGCTGAAGTCGGTGCTGGGCGATTTCGAAGATGAGATTCGTCGATGCACGCGGAAGAAATTGCGTGCGGTCTAACGTGTCTTGTGCGTGTACGCCACTCCCGTGATCCTTTGAATGCTATACGAGATAACGTAACACTCGCGCTTAATGTCTTACGACACACGTCGTAACGTGCGGGTAGTTGCACCTGTGAAAATAATTACGTGTCACCGCAGATAATTGTATGTACACCGCGATATCGAAGTCGGTTAGATGTGACGGAGCAAGTGACAAAGTATGTTTTCCAAAGTATAGTGGCTCTTTCTAAAGTAAAAGTTCGGAAAAACTGTACTCTTCAAGTTCCACGCGAGATAGACAGGCCGCGTCAAAATAGATATTTCTTAACCATTCCGTTCCCCGTTATTCTTCACACTCCGACGAGCGAAAGCATTTTATTTACTTTGCCAAAGTCTCTGGATCAAACTTTATCTGTACTTTCTTTAATTATGGTAGAACAATTTGAGTCAGTTTCTCCACTTGGTGCAATATTAATCTGATGCTTATACGCGAGAGAATAAGCTTATCAACCCGGCTTTATGCTCCTTTCATTAACTCCCTGTCTGCTAATTTTCTCATATCGAAAGATAATCTTTTCCGTACAAAAGCGCTAATGAAAGTGTAACGTAGTGTACGAATACATTTTCATCGTTCGAGGAATGAAGAACCTCCCTCCCCCGTGTAAGTGAATTCAGCCAAGAGCGAAACGCGTGGAGCGGTCCCGCATTAGGGATATTGATTCTCAAGATAACGGCATTCTCGCGGCTTATTCCGGACTTGAAAATACTTTATTGCAGACAGCACGATACACGCGCGACCTTCGCTCGAGGTCTTTACCGCGAATGCAGAAGACGAATCTAACAACTCCGAAATATAACTGTAATTCTGCTTGAAGGATCGGATTCGAAATAACGCAGTTACGAAGAAAGATCGAGCGAGACCGGCGATCTGTTGAGGAACTCGAGCTAGTGTTCGAGCGAGACAGTGCGATACAATAAAAAAGAAAAAGAAAAAGTTCAGTCGCGATATGTAACATTCGTGAAGTAACGTTAGACTGTTTATCGCGATGAATATTACCACACGCCTCGGTGGTCGAACTGGTGAGACCCCCGGGGGTGGGTCCAGGTTCAAAGGCCCAGGGTGCCCTGGCTGCACCCTCGGAAAAGATTTCTGTTACCGGGACAAAAAATATTCTTCACGCATTTATATTTCTCACGATCTCATTTAGTATAAAAATAAGACAATATCAGAATAAAATCAATAATTCTTATTTTCCTCTATCGAATTAAAAGGTTGACTTACTATATTGAGACAAGAGTAACTTATATGGAAATTTTTATCAGATTACCAGTATTGATATAAATAAAATGTCAAATTTTAATCGACCTCAGCTGGCCACAATTTGGCCGCAGCAAAAGTAATTTATATCTGGTAATTTATTCCTGATATTATTTTGTGCATCAAAGCTGATAAAAAGAATTACAAGCGCAAAAACTATATTTGACTGTGTCGGTAAAAAAGATGGCTTAAGGATCCCCTTAAGATTAAAATATTCCTTTCTCTATAATAAATATGAGTGGCGCTATATCGATCCTATTTTATGATACATTGAAGTGTAATAGCATTGGATCCGGAAATGTTTTCTGTGGGTGTGAGGTAAATTTTTCGCGATAAATTTAAACATTAAAATCACTTGGACACTAAAAGTCTTAGTATCTTTTAAACCTTTGCGATCTCACGTCAGAGCCTTATGAATTTTATTGTCTAAAAAGAAAAAGAGATTTGCACTGAAGACGATGTAAGAGAATGCCGCGTTTACGCCAGGAATAGCACAAACGGCTAGATCTGATAAATGAATAACTGAATTGAGTTCACGGATAAACGACTCTACGCGCGCGCGGTCGTTCATCTCGCAGTTACTTTATCGGACGAAGACATCGATACCGCTGGAAGCCAACCTTTTACCTTGCGTATCCGACATTCGGATGATACCGGAAGCCGCCGTGACGCGCCGAAGAATGACGCCGGCACGCATTCACGCAGGTCTCGTGGTCTACTTTCGACAAAGCAGCCTCGCTCTCCCTCTATCAATCTTTTCCGGCCGCGCCGTCGAAGGGCCGTTCGCGCGGACGTTTAGAATGATGGGCATTTCACGTTTGTATCCCGAATGACTCACCGGTATCGGTGATAACGCTGGAAAAATGGCCGTCGGTGCTATACATTTTTCCCCTCCCTTCGATCTCGCGATCTTGCAATCGAGAAACCCGGGCCGCAGGACAGCGGATGTCGTCGGACGGATACGGCGATTCGATAACCGAGCGTGTGAAGCGTACTGTTGTATACATATATAGACATGTGGAAGTTACGCTGACACGAGTCCTCGTAACTGCATTCCGTAAATTCTACGGGCGGGTGTCAGGTCGCGGAATATTCGCCGTGGGAAATGTCGACGGTGTCCAATGCGCTTTTTCCGCTCTTACATCGAATCGCAAATGTTTTACGGGAAATCCATCGGGCGGGCGAAGATGGTCCCGGGACGTGCCGTTACCGCGCGCGGAAAAATCGGGTATTTAAATCCACTCCGTAAATCAGAGATCGGCAGGATTCGTTTGTTCACGGAATCACGATTTGCCGGCTGAAAGATCTCTTATCCTACGTAAATAGCGGAGACATAGAGAGAGAGAAAGAGAGTGAGTGAGTGATATTGAGCTCCCGATGCTCTCGGCTTCGGTTCCACGTGAGAGATTTTACGAAATCCCTGTCGCCATACTGGATTTACACGGCATGAGAATAAGATACGTTCGTGCCCTCGCGTTCTCTCGAGCGAGATCGGCTGCTTTTCGCCCCGGGATCCAGGAAGGATCAAGCAAAGCGTTTCGCGATTCTCAAAACGGGTCGGAAGTTTCTGAAGAAACAACTTCGTTATTCAGCCCCGGCCTTTCCCGGCACGAACTTTCTACGAACTTGGCTTTCCTGCGTTCTAAACTGGGAGGTAAAAACTTCACTTCGTAAAACACTTATCTTAATTACAGCTTAACCTCCCTTGGAATAATATACCGCGCTGCGCGACATTAAGCTATGATTAACGTCACTCGATCATTTCTTCAATGAATTACTTTCAATATATCTCCGTTTTCCTTAAAAAAAATATTGTATTTCTCCCGAGCTAAGCCAACCGAATAAAGATTGCGGAGTGTCATACAATAAATCTTGATAAGAGATTTATCCGCCAAGCGAAGATCGGACCCTAGCGATACTTCACTCTACGAGCGTCGATGTCGCCGATAGATGATATATCTCTTACTTTTTTACTCCGCAGTTTCCGCCGAGAGGCGTTACCAATATTTCAAACAGTGCAGCGAGCACCGATTAAATACCGCGCGTTTCAATCGTTAAAAATCATGCAACTCCGATCGCGAGGCTGAAGCCAGATCGTGCCTCGGAAGAAAATTGCCGGACAATGTTGTTACGAGTAGTTAATTCCGCTGCGATACACAATTGTAACATGCTGTATCTATTGAAAACTCAGAACGCGAGCCTATGGACTGTCACGTGCGATCTTCGTTCTCCAAGTCAAGTCTCCGCGGCACTGAAAGTGTTACGGGCTGCTTTGGTCGACCCGGGCGCGAGGATCACCACTTGCGGAACTCGACGGCACTGAACGCACTCCCTCGCGTCTTGGGTCCGCAACCCCTACTGTCCGCCGCCGCCGCCACCGCCGCCGCAGCCGCCGCCGTCACCACCACCCCCGCCGTCGCGTCCCGCCGGCGAATCTTCACAATCCGGCGCGTAGCGCAGCAGCCCCCGCGAGACAGTGGCAAGTTGCTCGCGGTGACATGGCGACTCGACGACTGGCGCCGCGTCGACGAGTTCGTCGGTCCCCACGTCCACCTCCGGTTTCTTCCTCCCCCTGTCTCCTTCTATTTGTCGTCTTCCACCGCTTCCTCCTCCTCTCCGCTGCCATCCCTCCCCCTGGTCCACCTCCTCCTCCTCCTCCTCCTCCTCCTCCTCCGCCTCACCTTCATTTATCTATTTGTCCTTCCGTGTACGTACGCGTACCGCGGGGTCCGAGTGCCCTATCGCGGTACCGCGTGACGTGTCCCTCCGCCGCCGTCGCTCGTGCCCGGCGTATCGATGCGCGACCCTTTCGCCCGCGATTCGGCGGGGACGCGGCGTCGGTACGGTGACCCGTATTCTCATGCCGGCAACGAGGGCGACGCGGCGCTCCTTCAATCTCCGTCGTTGGCCCGGCGACGCACCCCCTCCCGCGCCCTCCTTTGAATTTTGGCACCCAAACGCCGTCCGAGCAGGGGTGGGATCAGGGCGCGACTGTGCGTATCGGGCCGGCGAATTAGCGCAGCCCGAACGTTAATCAGATTCTCTCGCCATCGCCATCGGCGACGTCCTCGTGAAATGCAAATAGCTGGAGAATTAACCCGGATTTCTTTTTTTTACGCGAGATAACGCGATAAATTCTACGCGGCTACGGAGGGGAATGTTTGACATTTGTTGCCAAACCGGAAAAAAGTGTACGTTTTTTTGCTAAGCTCGAAGTAATTGTACAAAAATTTTATGGCAGATCCGACAGAACTGTTTAACGTAGCGAATTAAACGGCATTGTTAAAGTTAGCTTCAAAGGCTTGTATAAATAAGGGAGAGCTTATTTCTCTCGGTTTAATTGAAATGAATATTACTTTGGACAGAATTTTAATTTGAAATGTTTCACGCTAAATAGTACAAAATTGTGTGCGTATATTATAATTGCGGTATATTCCATTATATTCTCATTTGAAAAGGTAATGACCGTAAACTTTGATCGAATCCTCCTTTCTCTTTCGTTTTATGTTGAAAATACATTTTGAAGTTTTGTCGTGCCAAAAAGAGACGCATCCTTACGAATCCTTAGAGACATATCCTACAAATTCTTCAATTACAACCTAATTTTTCTACCGATAATGCCTAGAATGGATTCTTCCAATTTCTTCCGCTCGCAAACATATAAATAATGTTATACAGTTCATCCCGATTTAGATCTGTTCTTTAATACTACAAGAACCCAGGCACGTTACAGTGGATGAAAAAAGAACTCGTACAAGTAATTTTTAAGTACTCACGTCAACCTCTTCGACAGGCGTGTGATATTATTTAAATACCGTTTAATTTATTCATCGCCGCATCGCTGAGAATGGCTCAATGCAGAACCGAAACATAAAACTAGTTAGAATTCTCCAACGTCGCCAGCGGTAATTAACAACGTCGGTGTTTTCTTGACCATACCTGGCATCTTTAATAATACAATCTAGGCGGGCGTCTCACCAATTCGACCACCACTTTTGTGAACTGCGCGCCGATAAGGGTTGTCGGCCGTACGCGGAACTGTCGAATGCGCGATTTTTAAGTTTTCTCTACCCCCTCCCCTCTTTCCCAATTGCGTGGGGAAACACCGTGTTTGGGGTCAATGGTGAAGAATCAACTAATCAGAATTTATATATAAAATTTGTAGTCTGTTAGGCAGGTACTATACGAAGTTACTCCATGCAAAAATAGTCGCACTCTGAAAGCTTCTTGTTATTCGTTCGCCAAAAAGAATTCTTTTTCAATTCCCGAATCGTGAGACGAAAAACTCTCACCGCCCACTTCTGTTTAGAAAAGCATTCTGAAGAACTCGAAAAGAAAATTCGCTTTTACGTCGTCAATTCCGACGTCGCAATTTTCTACCGGAAGAGGAATTCTTTGTATTCGGGAAAACTTAAATTTACCTCCGTCACGAGTCAAAATGTACCACCTCTGTGGAATCCTTCTGTACTGCCGGAAAGGAATTCTTTTGAGTTCATTTTGAATAGAGATCACGCTAATTCGTAAGGAATTTTTTAAAGTGGGTCCTTTTCGAGTTCCTAATTATCTGTGCTATTTTAGGAGGATGTTCTTGAGTTAACTAATCGTTCATTAAGAGGCTAAGGGAACTGTTCTGTAAACGTTAACATCGTCACGTGCTTTTCGCAGATATAATATACCACAGGAAAGCTGCGCAAAGCAGCGTGACGTTACTCTCTGAAAGTCAATCAGTGGATTATCAGTGCGATTTTCAGTGGTATACATAAAACTGCAAATCAGTGACTATTCACTGCTTTCAGTGATAATCCGCTGGTCGATTTTTAGAGAGTAATCGTTAACGTTTACAGAATAAGCCTCTAAGGTCCGACTTTTAATTTTAATTGTTAACCAGAGGTTAGTCGATTCTCTGTCTCTTCTTCGATAATAATATAAAAGAGGACGAAGAGTCGATTAATCTCTAGTCAACAGTTGACCAGACAATAAAAAACTGGGCCTCAGTGCTATACTTACAACTGTTTTCAGCGATAATGCGCTGATTGACCTTTAGAGAGTAGATTATACGATTTATACGTCAAGTATTATTAGGCCCTACTGAATAAATCAACTCTATTTACTTATAACTGCAAATCAGTAAATATTCATTGTTTTCAGTGATAATGCAACGATTGACTTTATAGAGTATATTATATTTATAAACTAATTGTACGTATTATTAGGTCCGCGCTGAGACGGTCGATTGTTTGTACGTTCACCGCGAATTTAAGCGAGGTTATCTCAGCGGGCGTGTACGTGATGAAAATAATATTGTAAGTGTGTCAAATTATTTTGTTCTCTTCCATCTCGTGTACTACAGTCGAAAATAATATCATGTATAATAAAATTATAATACCGCAATAATTTCTCCTCGCGATTGCTACAATTTGTCGTGACTTTTATCGGTATTTGCTGCTTTATGGAGAAGAGCAAATTGGGTTGCGCGTAACGTATGGCAGGACGCCAAATGTTCTCTCCGCTACGCACACCCTCCGTTGCGTATTATCCACGCATGCGTGTGGGTGGGAAGAGATATCTTCGTATTCGCAAGATTGACTCGGAAATTCTCGCGTACATATTACGAGTAAATTTCCTCGATCAGTCACCAAATAAGGAATAAACGTGACAGACGCTCCGACGTCTGCTTTTTTTTCTCACAACACGGTTTAAGGGGATGCTGGAGTGATTCTGCACT